CAAATCTTGACAACTCTAACAGATAACTCAACTTAAGATAAGATTTATGAATTTGAAAGCGCCAGCATCAAGCTTCTTGGATTGTCATGAGTTCCAAGAGAGGACTCGTTCAAGTTCACATCGAAACCAACAAATGATGACTCTTCAATCACCAAATAGAGAATCTTATTGCAGACAGCTCAACTGTATGATCCACTAGGTTTCTTATCACCTTTCATAATCAGAGCAAAGGCTCTTCTTCAAGAGCCCTGGATAGATCAACTCACATGGGATGAACCAGTTTCAACCCACATTGAAACCACGTGGAAACTTATTAAAGTAGAACTTGAACATGCATCAGACATCTCAATACCACGATGGTTAAATATCACAGTCAACTCAACCATCGAATTACATAGATTTTCAGACGCCTCAAAGACTGCAATGGCTGCAGTAGTATATCTTCAGTCAACTCTTCCAGGTCGCACAACAATTATATGCTCCGAGACGAAGGTCGCGCCACTCAAGAAGCTGTCAATACCAAGACTTGAGCTTACGGCAGCAGTAATGCTGGCAAAGCTCGTCAATCATGTAAAAAATCAGTTGGAAATTCAGCCAACTTGCATAAATTGTTGGACCGAATTATCAGTAACGTTGACCTGAATTCAGTCAATTTCGTCTTGCTGGAAAAAGTTCGTAAGTAACAGCATGTCATTGATTTAAAATCTAACTACAATCAGAGAGATACGTTCCAGGCAAACAAAATCCAGCAGACTGTGCCTCGAGAGGTATTACAATCTCCCTACTCAAGAGGCAGTCTCTGTGGTAGACAGAACCACAGTGGATAGCAGCAGACGAATCAAAGTGGCCTACTCAACAAGCAGTGTATGATTCCTCAGCTCGGCAGGAAGAGCATCCTAGGAAAAATTATTATGTTCAGTTAAATCAAATCAAATATTATTGATAAATGCTTTACAGGTACTTCAACATAATTGAACTGGTAAGAATTACAGCAATATGTTTCAGAGTCAGACAAATCATCAGCAAAGTGCCTCAGAGCAGCGATTCTATCCTCTCTCGCCACAAGAGATTGACAGAGCAATGCAGTTTTGGATCCAGACCACTCAGGAATTATACTTCTCACACGAGTTGAAGACGATTAACTCAAACTCTCTACCCGTTTCACACTGCCTCTCACGACTGACATCAATCATTGACACTCATGGCATTCTTCGTGTTGGAGGACGACTCGCAAACGCAGGCTTATCTGACAACGCAAAGCATCCAGCAATACTTCCACAGAAAGCTCATTTATTAAAACTCATCATAGCTAATGCTCAGCAGAAAACTCTCCATGGTGGAACGCAGGCAACTCTGAGTCTCATACGGAGCTCTTACTAGATCACAGGAGGGAGGATTCCAGTAATGGGTCAATTGCCATTATCGAGAGTCAAACCAGCCCGATCATTTGCCTTCTGTAGTGTGAATTACGCTTGTCCCATCACACTAGAGACTTGGAAAGGCAGAGGCGCCAAAAAGACCAAGGGATGGATTTGTATTTTCGTGTGCTTTATCACTTCAGCAGTCCACATTGGAGTGGTAAATGACTATTCATCAGATTCATTCGTTGCAGCGTTCCGCAGGTTCACGGGACGACGTGGGGTATGCAGAACTCTACACAGTGATTGTGGCAAAACATTCCAGGGTGCAGACACTGAAATCAGCCAACTCTTCGAGCAGGAAACTCAGCAGTTTAATCATATTGCAGCTACATTGGAAAATGATGGAGTTGAGTGGAAATTCAACCCACCAGCAGCACCACATATGGGTGGAAAATGGGAAGCAGCAGTCAGAATAATTAAACATCTCCTAGATAGAACTATTGGTAAAATGAATGTCACTCATGAAGAATTGACAACCCTATTAGTTCAAATTGAAGCTATACTCAACTTCAGGCCATTGAGATCATTCCAGGACAAGAGATTCCTGGGCTCACCAGAGTTGTGACAGTAAAAATAGCCACCTCAGAATTGACCAGACCGATCACCAAACTAGCAGTACTGCCATCTACCTCAGCAGACGACTCAAGTGATCAGTAACACCAGGTCACTGATGGCGGGGAGAATGTTGCGAGTTGAGCAACAATAAATTTTCCAATATTTCTACACCCCCCGGCCAACTTGACTTTAACCAGCTACGGCTTTGAACATTCAGCAGTCAATCAGGCGCGAGCAGGGGTGACAACATCACCATTCACAACGACGGCCCTGGTGAGGCCGGCAGCGTGGTTACCACGCGGCAAACCTCCACTATACACCAGGCAACTCGAGGCTGAACGCCACGCGGTCAACGTTCAGGTTTCTCACCTTGTTAATATCAGTTAATGTTCAGTTCAATCACATTCAATCAAGTTAATTAAATGTGTAATTAGTTCATAAGTGTTTTCAATAAAGAAAATTTACTCAAAGGGAACTACGTGAGTCTGAAAAGTCATTTCATGACCACACCTCGTCCCGCATCCAACCTCAATCCAGCATTGTTCATGCTCAGGCGAATTATTTATACAGTCCACCATGTATTTGTTATAGCACAATTAGTCTAAACAAATATACTCCCAATCACCTCAAACCACTCATGAAGACCCAGATTATCACCGAGTATTGAAGCTAATTTAAACTGCAACTGTATATGTTCACCACTAATTATAACTGCAATACCTGTTTTTTCTTAGAAAAATTAGTTCTCTAACAACCATGTCGAATACCTCTTTTTTTTTGAACAATTTTTCTATCTATCGTGCTGACTAATAAAAAAAAAATATTCGATCATTTGGAGCGATATTTTGATGGCAAGCACAAAATATTAAAATACAGAGCTCCAGATTTCCGAATACCACGGTGACTACCGATTGGATTGTTGTTTTCGTAGTCATCGAGGTGTAACGCGATAGGTCAAATCGTTCTGCTGCCTGATTTTGTTTTATTTCTCGAAGAATCACCTTAAATATAGTTATGAATAATGCTAGAATTTTCTAATTATTTCATGTAATTTAAAGTTTTATGTAAGACGCCTGGTAATGAAAAAAACTTTATGAGTACTTGAGTACTACTCAATATTTGACTCATTTTTGGAAGTTTCATTCAATGATTCAAAATGTTCTAAAATTGTATCACGAAGTAAATTTATAAAGCCACTATTGAGAAATAAAAAGAAATCTTCGATTAACATTTCAACACGTTTTCGAGGTAAATCCAAAAAACTATTAAGTTCTGATACAAAATTTGTAACAGATAATTGTAATAAATTATTGACATTCTCTGATTGACTAATACTATTTTCTTTAGCGACGGCACTTTGTACAACTTCATCTAAATGGAAATTTTCTTGGTTTCTACCGAAAACACTTAAATTTTTTTTTTTACTTTTTCATTTGAATCGCAGAATTGTTTTCGATCAAAAGCTCACAAGCATAGCAACTAAAAATTTTCCGTAAGGTTACTGAACAATAAAATTTCATTATTAAAAATAAAATAAAATTGTTGAACAGTTTATAGATCATAAAGGAAAGCATTCAAGTAATGACATTTATGGTAGCACTATTAGTGGATTTTAACTAATTGTTAACAATTATTCGATTGAATTAAGTTGATTTTTTTTTTATCAAGTATGAATAGTTTGCAACGATTATAAGCGAATAAAATTGAAGCTTCTTATTTTTAATTAAAAAAAACTTCCTTTAAATAATGACATGAACTTTTATAAACATAATCTGAATAAAATATTTTAATCTTAATCGAAATTTAAGGTCGTGATAAATTACTTGTTCTTAAATCATGAAATCCATACGTTTTATATTGGAGTAAGAAATCAACGATGACCAATTTTTCACAATTATGAGTCAAACTGTATCTTATACAAAAAAGAAACAATGGACTTTACATTGAATATGCAATAAATTAAAAAAAATATATACATATATTTTCATAGTGCCATAGTATCCAACTCTAAAAATATAAAGATACTTTAACCATTTACACGTTAAGCGTTCGTTATATAATTAATTAACACCTGAAAACGCGGTGAAGTAAATTTATCAGCTATATTTATTTCGTAGATAATCTTTAGAAGCAAAGTCCGTAAATGATAAGAAGCTTGCGGACAATGGCAATCAAAGGCAATAAACTTTGGAAAGTCAATCGCATTGAATACTTTTTTTGTTTGATAACGTTTGTGTCCAAATAAACATATGCATCGATTATTTTGTCTAGTTCATCGACAAAAACTGCGATAGGCTAGAATGGAAGATTATGCTTTCTAAGATATCCTTGTCTTTCTTCGATTACTTTTTATATACATCCAAAACTCTGGAATAAAAATTATAACATTACTCTTACTGCATTTAAAAAAAGTCATTTTTTATTAAATGGAGTTTTAGTAAATTCACCTGCACTATTGAAAAATCGATTCACGAACTTCTGAAGATGGAGCACGTCGCTTAGTAATTTTCCTTTTTTTGGCTGTTAAAGATAAGGGTCCGTGGCTGGGCAATTGATGTAAAAAGCATTCATCAATGTACTCTCTTAAAATGAAACAGTGAGTTATATTCACTGCTCAAGTAATGAATACCACTGTTAAATCAATGAAAATATGAAATTCATTGTAGAAATATATAAACACAATAGAATACATGTAATTTTTTATTTCTTTATGAATGATGTATTAATATAGATATAAATTCAATATGATTATACTTGTGTTAATATTATTAATATAAAGATTGATAAAAAAAAAAAGCACTGTAATCACTTTTCACATTGAAGCGATAAAACTATATTATATGGTTTGACATTCATTGTATTGACAAAACAGTCCATGAAATTATAAAAATTGATAAGCATCTGAGAATATTCTAAATCTAGTGCATGATAGCACTTGTATAAAAGATCGAAAGCCACAACACTATCAACTTTTTCATGAACATGGATAAACCATCCATCTCCCTGGATGAATAGTTCGTCATGAGTATCACTTTGAGCCAAAATTATGCAAGGCTGAATAGATTCTTTCTTTCCTTCTCTAACTTCTTTCACAAAACTTTCTATATTGGAACCTGTTGGTACTATTTGTAGAAGATATTCATTTGGAAAATTAGTTTCGCATGGTAATGTATTTTCATCAATTTTCTATAAAGAAATAAAAAATGAATAAATAAACTAGAAAAGTAGATATTTAAAAATAGCAAGTATTATTGCATACAAAAACTTACACGTTCCTTTCCATGTCTTTTGCTGAGACTCTTTCCTTTATCAAAAACTTTGCCTTTACATGTTTCGATTGCATTCGATACAGGTAGTAATTCTATCACAAGTAATAATGCTCATAACTTTTCTGGACAAATTCATGAATAAACCTTATTAACTTACCTTTTGATTTATTTCTTCTTCATTATAAATGGAATTATTTGTAGATAAAGGAGTTAGGGTTGGTTTTTTCGATTTAGAGATCTTATGTTTCTTTCGGTCAGCAGGCATATTTTTCCAAACGGTCCGTAGTCCCTATTCAATAAAACCACGCTTTGTAGTTTTGTCATAATAATGTTTCTATCAAGTAATGATTTGTAAATGAACATAATATTAGACTTTGAACATATACCCATACTTACATAGCCTAGTGTGAGATTGGACTTTTTAGCTGAGAATATTCAGTCACAATTGCTCTAGCTAATGCAATTTAAGCTTCTTCAGGAGGGTAGCTAAAATTAAATAAAATTTATCAAAAATTTGAAGTCTGCATTACAAATATAAGAGTAAAAAGAATTTCATTATTTACAATAATCATGATTTTTTTGAATTGATTGTATCAGACACCAAAGAAAAAACACCAAAGTTAATTCAGTGAATAGTCTAAGTATGAATGAAAAATACTAAAATGTATATTACAGTAAAAATTCTAAACAAAATACTACAATTGCTATAAACATTTATATACATTCACTTACCGGCTATTATAAAGAGTAGTTAATTCCAAGACAACTATTCGTAGAAATTCTCGTCGATCCTCTTCCGTAAAAATGCCATTAAGAGGATTTAATATCCTTTCACCAGCTGGATAATTTTCTAAAGTATTTTGTATAGTAGTGTAACTCTAAAAATCCAATGAATAATTGTAATTATTTCCATACAATTAAATAATACTCTCATATGAAATGAAAATGAATACCGAAAACTGGCAAGATGAAGGAGATTGAATTTGTACTGATGTTGATGGCTATGCAGTTAAGAGCACTGATTCTATTAAAAGGAAATTTTAGAAGACGGTAAAATGTGTAGTCTGTAAACGATATACATCAAAAAAATCATGAATAAATATACAAATTCAAGATTAGTTATATATTAGCTTATTACAGATTAATATGAAATTAATTAATTTTATATCGGACAACTGTAACTGCAGACACAATAATTTTGATCGTAGTTATTTATTGCTTCCTAAGAAGAATTTTATGATTTCTTTTTTTCCTATAATGTTTGTTGACATTGGCAACAAGAAAAGTGTCAAATAGATACACAGTCTGAATACTTTTTCTTCAATTTGAAAAATTAATCGTGATAACATTGATATTTAACGATTAAAGTGCGTATTTTAATAGACGTTTATATTATTCATATTTTTTGTGTTATTGAAATAAAAGTTTATCGTGATAAAGTTAATTTCATTGTTTTCATTAAAGTTAACATTCGTTAGTTTTAATATTATGAAACCCTTGCGTAAAAACCATTGTGGCAAAAGTCACAAGATGTGGGCTGGCGTAAAAGCACCGAGTCGAGAACAAAAATTTTAAAAAATGTAAGTACAAATATTTCAATAATAATCTTAAAAAAATACTATAAAAATGATATTATATCTCATTTAATTAAAAATTGTGTATTCAGCGTGTTGAAATTTTCCTTTTACTCAATCAGCATAACTACAATCGATTGTATAAAGTAATTTTTCTATTTCGCCAAGGATGTTTTTTGATAGAGGATAGCTCAGTAGTCATGTTTCTAGTAATCTAACAGTCTATTGCAATAAATTTCATAACATTCTGACTTCGTTTTTAATTATATTTTTCTCAAAAGTGTGATAAAAGAAAAGATGTTTAGCGAAAATATAGTATTCTCACTAAAAGTTTCAAGTACACGGAAAAAAATAGTGAATGCTTTCCTCCGCGAGTAAAAATGATAGTGTTGATTTCGTTGTTCTTTCTTTTCTTATTCGAATATTTTTCTTTACAAAATAAGTATTAAAATAGCTAAGCGGGTTAACGCGTAGGTTGAAGTAATATGCATGCGAGTACACTGCAAATGCTGGGTGTGTTGCAACAACACACCTACACATGTTATTTCAGTGTAGTCGTTTTGAATACACTTTTGGGTGTGTTATTTTTAGCACGTGTAGGTGTGTTAGCACAACACGTGTATTTTATCGAAAAAAGTGTGTTTTATAATTTATGAAATCCTGAAACACGTGTTAAGAAGACATGTTAAAAATGGCTCTTAAAGAATGAATACTCATTAATTGAAAGTTCTACATTTATTATTGTTTCCATCAATGAACTTACGATAATAAATGAAAAAGTAAAAATGAAAATATAAAAAAGTATAAGAATATGATTCAACAAAGCATAAATCATCTTACTGGTCTTGCAATGACGGCTCAAGTTTTTGTTTGAACTTTAGTATTAATGAATTTTTAATATTGATTTTAAGTCCTAATATTTCGTGCTCTAAATAACGAAGAATGTTCATTTATGCTTGTGGGTAATCTCGGTGCCAGACATAGTATGCAGAAAAATTCCAATTACAACCTTTTCTGTTGATGGATTTTTTATTTCCATCATTATATTCTCATCTGCCACTATGTACGCTGTTGATATATTATTTTTATTTAAATAAATGACTGCTCGAGGAGCTTCATTTTCTTTAGTTATTAGAGTAGATGTTGATGACATCACCTGAATCAAAATTATTAGAACATATTAACACATGATATTTAAATTAAAGTTCGTAGATTAATGAATATTATAATTTCTAATTGAAGTACCTCTTGCACAACAAATAGCTGATTTATTTTTTTACTTGTAGAAAGTTTTTTTGAAGTCAGTTCACTACACATATTAGTGATTGTTTGAAGTTTGGAACGTTCATCATTGTTTTTTATTGAATAATAATTCAATAATTTATCAATCATTATTTTTAATTTTTCAAAAACTGATGTTTCTATCAAATCTTTGAAATTAAGAAATTCAAAAACAACCTACAATCATGATAAAAACGAATATGTTATAAGTTTATAACTAATTACTAAAGTTAACACAATTTATTTAGGAAAAGTTTGAGTTCAAATTCTATACCATTTCGTAATATTGTAATGCAGAATATTTCGTAATCATGTCTGTGATCCGGTTAATAATTTTTTGAAGTACATTAACACCCTCATTTTAATCTTTCTCCAATTCTTGAAGCGCGGTCTGGATATCAATATCTGTTTGAACTCTGTGTATGAAATATAATAATAATATTGCATAAAAAAATGAATCGCATATTAAATCAGTTTGACTAATTAAAAATTCTAATGAATTATAATTACTATAACTTACTATAACAGTAATACGTACGATGATGGAAGAAGCACAGCTTGTTCTGAAGGTAATTTTTTTTGTTTGGGATCTCCTTCTTGGTTTCGTTTAGTACCTTTTTTATTTTCTGGTTTTAGATTCCTTCTATGGTTTCGGACATCATTCAAAAAATATTTTAGAATCACATAAATCTTGTTTCAGTCTTAACATTTCACTACATACATCTTATTTTGCTAATTAAAAAATAACAAAATAAATTTTTTACTTTACTCACAGTTCCATAAACGTCAGTAGATAAGTTTGAGAATGCAGCAGCTATATTTGGGGCAAAAGCTGCATAGTCTTTTGGTGATGGAGATCCATTAGTTTTTTCATACAAATATGCAGCCCAAAATGCAATAAATTGGTGTCGGTTCTTAAGAGTTATTCCTGATTGAGAAAGTAAATCTTTTGTTAAAGGTGGTAACGATAATCCTGATGAACTTAAGCTGTTTTTTTTCCTGAATCAGTCGGTGGCAACGGCGTAATGGAAGTACTGGCAAGGTTATTTGTGTCTTCTGGAGGAGATACTGGTCAATTCTGTTATATTTTTGAAAAAATCAATTCGATTAAAATATTATAATATACTGACATCCTTACACGAGTACCTTAACAGTTAAACTATAACAGATATTTTAGATGATGAAAATTTTGAAATCTATTTATTTATATATTTTTTTTAACGTAAAACGAATGTCTCTATTATTTAAACATAATCTGTCAGCATTTAATATATTTTTTGTTAACAAAAGTTAATGAGAATCATCATAATACCCGTGTAGTCTATGAATCATGAATTGTTTTGTTTTCTAATAAGATTTTACGAGATAAGAACCACTGAGAATTGACATCACACACTAACACATGACTTTTATATTCACACCAAATAGAATGCAAAGTAGTAAAGACTAATTTTTACAAGTTTTGATAAATTTAATAACATTTTTAAGATTAAATACCTGTTCAACTGTAGTTGTTTCGTCAAGTACAATGAAGCCTGCATTCATTATATCATTGGTACTGACTTTGTCTTCTATTGGAATTAAAATTACATTTACATCACTTTTGTTTTCGATTTTTTCATCTTCTTTAAGATCACGAAACTGTTTGTTTCTATCAATATCCTTTATTTGTGAGAGGATATGATTTCCTTGTATTTTTTGATCCAATAACTTGTCTGATGCACACATTCCATCTAACCTTCGACGGATTATTTCCGTATCAGACAGATTTCCTTCAGAGATATATATTACCCACTTACACAGTCCGTCAATTATGCAAAACACTGTTTTCGCCATCACTGAATTGTTTTTTATTGTTTTTCGACAAAATTATTCAAACGAACAATTAATCATACACCTGAATCCACAACAATAAAAATATCTAACAGCACACAAGTCCAATCGGCGTTTGCCTTTCTTTCAAAGTACACGTGCTGCTAAGTGTGATGGCGTTAGCGTAGCTGATATGAGTGTGAAAAATATTAAGTTTGAAGGGGGCAGCACGACGAAGCACGTTTACGAGTGTGTTTTGTTTTGAAATGTTAAGTATTGGTGCTCAACGTTCAAAGATTCAATTTTTTCCTTAATGAAAAGTTACTAAATTACACCGATAAATATTCATTTATAGTGAAATAATTATATGTACAATAAAACATAACATTGAAGTGAATATTTATTTCCAACTAAATTATTTTTGAAAATACAATATTATTTATAACTAAAGTAAGAAGTTACTCTTGTTCATAAATAAAATTCTAAAATATATTGTGGACTAACTATAATTTCTTAAAGATTTGATCCTATTTTTTAAAATGAATGAATTTAAATGTTCAATGTGTTTTTTTCTGGTGCCAATAATACCTATTTAATGAGGCATATAATTCGCCATCATCTTAATGATCCTAATTTTCAAGTGAAATGTAATTATCCTGAATTTGGTTGTACTTTTAAGAAATGGAGATCATTTCCTCAACATTTATACCGAAGACATAGAACCAATAAAGACGTTGAAGACTTGAGAAATGAAAGAGAAGGATATGATCTATTGGATGAAAATAAACCTCTGATAGAAGATAACGATGAAGGTATAGCATTGAAAAAGAAATTAAATAAATAAATTTTCAATTATTTTTATATTAATTGTACGTACATTCTATACAGATCATCAAGAAGGAATAGCTGTTGATTTAGAAGAACGTATGACGTGGCATGCTGCTAAATTTCTCTTCAACATCAGGGTAATTGCCCTGTCTCACTATTGCAAAGGGTTTAACTTGGAAAAGAAAAAGAAATTCAGCACCAGTAATTTGTCGTACTGATTATAATGCTCCGATTATACCATTTTTGACTAGTTTGAAAAACTTGTTATCAAACGAAGAAATTCGGAGCTACATAGATGACCAAAGACTTCAACATGATAACGTATTCCGCACAGTGTTAGACGGAGAGTTTATATTGACACATAAATATTCCATGTTTTATTGGATTCAAGGTAACTTAAATCCCAAAGTGCGATCATCATTGGACGCAATCCAATTATATGGAGTAGTTAAGACAGAGTATTTGAAAAAACCGAATGCTTTAAATAAACTTCTACAACCTTTCATAGATGATATTAATTTCTTACAAAATACAGGAATTGATGTTGATATAGGAAGAGGACGGGTTCGAAACTATAAAGGTTCTTTACTTTTTTGTTCTGAAGATACTCCAGCATCAGCGATGATTGGACGTTTTAAAGAGTCTACTGCAGCACTTCGACCTTGTCGTTCTTGTCAGACAACCAATAATGCTTGGAAGTTAAGTTTTCGTGATGCTGATTTTACGCCACGAACAATTGAAATACATGAGGAAGCTGTGAATATAATCAATGATGAAACTATCACTCCAGCATCAAAAAAGTTTTGGCAAAAATTTACGGGAATAAATAAAAAAAATTCCTCTGATGGAAATTGAACATTTTGACATCACAAAATGTCTTCCTCGAAACATTATGCACATTTTAATTGAAGGGCCACTTGAAATTTCTTGGCGACTTTATTGGTCGTATTGTATTCAAACCTTGAAGCTTTTTAAATTACAAGATTTTAACCATAGTTTAATTAATTTTAATTATAAACAGTTTAAGGAAGATAAACCTGCATCTATAGAATCACGTCATTTAGAATCAACTGCTACTTTACGTCAAAGTTCAGCCCAGTTATAAACACTTGCTCATGTCTTAGAATTTTTAACTGCCACGTGGACAATGGCTTGTAAAGACATTCATCTTATAAAACGTACTTCTTGTTTCATAGAAATGTTACAAATAGTAAATATTGCTCTTGCATATGAAATTAATATGGATTCAATTGCTTTGCTATCATATATGATTGATTTATTTGTCAATCACTTCAATGAGTTATATCCTGATTGCTTAGTTCCTAAGTTTCATTACCTTATACATGTACCCCGCTACATACGTTTATTTGGGTCAGCAAGGCAACAATGGTGCTTCCGTTTTGAAGGATTACATGCCTATTTTAAAGGACTTATGCCAGTAGTGCGAAACTATAAAAATGTGCCAATTACTTTAACTTATAGACATCAATCTCGCTTATGTTCAAAACTTAGTTCATATCAAGGTGCTCCGGCAAAAAAATTTCTATATTTAGGTGATACAGTCACTTCTGGAAAGATTATTTCGTTAAATGATCTTCCAGATGCAAGAATTTTTTATGAATTTATTGATAAAGCTGAAAGACTGACATGCGAAATGATATTGTCTCCAAAAGTAATAATTTATGGTACATCATACCAACCAAGTAGTATAATATTATTAGAATGTAATGACGATAATCTGCCTGTATTCAGTGAGATTGAGAATATATTCATTTATAATAATAAGAAATTATTGTTAGTATTATTACATATAACTGAAAATTATGAGTCAAAACTAAATGCTTATAAAATTAGTCGATGTTTGAATAATGAGAAGCTTGTAATTAATATTGAGACATTGATATTTCCACATGAATTATCTTGTTTTATTTTTAAAGACTCAAAATACGTACCATTAATTAATCATCAGCGAATAGAATTATACGCGTAAAGATTTGAAAAACTAAAGTTAACTTTGTTAATTAACATTGATGTAAATTTTATTCGTTCTTGTTGTAACAGTTACATTAAATCACTAAAAAACATATCTTATTTGTATAAATTTGTTGAGTTATCTGTCCTCTCTTATATATAAGATATAATTGTAATAGATATAATTATAATTATTATATATTTGGATATATTCACATGTATATTTCAGTTTGTATTACGATTAAACTTTTCTACATGTGTAGAATATCATTCTAATTAAATGAAGCCATATAAATCATTGCAAATAATTTTTTTTAATTTTCATAAAAAGTTTATGTGATTATAATATCATAGTCACAATGTACGATTTCTATACTAGTAGTTTCATATATATGTATTATGTCGGAAATTTTTCAATATTATTTAAATAAATGCAACATTATTATTTTAATAAATTTAACAATAAAAAAATTGAGGAATATTTTATGAATAACATCCAGTTGACATAAATTAAAATAGACTTGGCGTGTAAAGAAATTTGTCCTTTACGTTAAAGTTGAACCACATAAATATTTCGACTGGAAACGTAAAGTAAGTTTTACTGTCCCGACTACTACTAGCATTCCAGTCACTCGCCCTCTCCTTTTTTCTCGGTGTGGTGAAATTTCTTTTTTTTAGAAAAAAAATTGATTTCTAATGTATTGTGTCCATAGATTTCAAGAATAATAAATCTATCACCAAACAGAAAGTTGGTAGTATAAACAATCGGATTTGCACTTAGATTAATTTTTTTTATTAATGTTTAAACTTTAGGCTGCGGAGGTGGTCGATATGTGGACCAACAGACAGGTTAGCGACTGTATCTGAGATATCCAGTGATATAATGTACACTTAATATTTATTGTAAAATAAAATTTAACATTGATTTATAATTAACGATTCTAAAAATTTTAATTTTTCACAGATGCCTACTTTATTCTTATTCATATGATCAATGAATAAAAATTATTCAAAATAATTTATTGTAATCATAAGAATGGATGATTTAAAAATACGTGGGAAAAATGAACAGATCTTATATGATGTGATCTGATCTATTTAGATCCAAATAGATAAAATTTGTGTTATCTACTCAAGTCCACACAGATCCAATTAGATCTAATATTTTGTGGCTAAAATTTATTTTGATCTGATACGATCCAATATTCCATTTCCACACAAAATCAGATCTAATTGTGTATGATATTCGACGGCAAACTATAAATCTGATCCGATCCAATGTTCCATTTTTACATTTAATTAGATTCCATCGAATATGATATTTTATAACTACAAAAAAAGTTTAATCCAATTTGATCTAACGTTCCATTTCCATCATAAATTAGATCCAATTAGGTATAATATTTATTGACTGAGAAAAAGTTGCATACGATCTGATTTAACGTTTTATTGTCATACTCAATCAAATCGAATCAAGTCGGAATTAATTTTTTATAAATTCCGGTCGATAAAATATGATGCATCAAGAGTTTTGTAATGTTAACAAAGTCTAAAAAATGATAAGAATAATTTTTGAATATTTATCTAACTTATTTACAATATCATCTCAATTGAGTTTGGTTGCACACAAATGTAATTTTTAACTCAAATAACATGGCGTATATATTTTATGTCGTCAACCCTAAGTATCATAAAAGAATTGGTTTGTTTAATGGGAATCATGTGTTACACTCTGATTTTAGTACATTGATGAAGGAAAAATGTTTTCAATTCGTCCTTGAATACATTTAAAACAAAGCTCATTTGATTATTTATTTGCAGAAAAAATCTTATGCTCCCATGTATTTTTTTTTTTTCGTTTACAATTACTGCAACTGTGAAGTGATTAGTTTTAGTTTCTTTTTTTGTCACATGTAAATTCCATCAGACCTAATCAGATTACATACCATTGGATCTAGTTGAATCAGTAGAATTATTCGATTCAATTAGATTTAATATTGTAGCTAACATGATAAAATCTGTAGTAAAGCTTATCATTTTCATTGTCAAAAAAAATCAGATTCAATCAGATTTGATAAAAGTTGATTATTGTTGTAAGGGATTTAATAAGAATAAGCCGCAGTTATACAAATAAGTGATCGAAAAATAGTATCTCAAATTTCTTAGGTTAGCATCGGGGTAACCATGCATGTCTACGATTACAAGAGTTGCAGGATCGAGTTTACCTAAGTTCCATTACTTTACCTCAATCGTTATTTTCGGCACTACAACTACATTATAATCATGACATTAAAATATGGACTCAAATATAATATGTAAATTTATAATAATTTT